ATGTCATTCTATCCTAGTTGTGCAAATCAATGCTCATAGTGTCAATCACTGGATTGTCTGGCCCAGACTCAATTATTTACAGACCGCCGTTGTGGAAGTGGAATATTGCCGAGTGCAGCGTTGAACAAAAGACAAAACAATCTGAGGTTTCACTCTTCTTTTAATTTTACACTTTCATTGTCAGTGAACTAAGTGTGGAGGATTAAAATGATGTGGAAGCTAGTCATATTGTCAGTTGAATTACTTAGGAAGGAAAATGTTGGAAAATGAACAGGATCAACAACCGTCGTCGTCGTCGTCATCTTGACAGCTGCCCTGGTTGCTGTGTGTGTAGGTGTCTAGGTCGTGATGTTTGCAATATTTGTTCCTTGATCAAATTGCACTCGTCCCGGCCTGCAGAACTACCATCTGTCATCACCAGGCTTTTACCGGACGTGAAATATTGAGGCTTAAACATACTCCATTTACAATTGACGAAATATTGGCAAACAGAAATTTACATGACATAATTTATTTTTATCCCCTGCCCCAAAGAAGTTGGCGGGGATATAGAAATGGGTTCCTTCCGTGTGTGCGTGCGTGTGTGCGTGTGTGTGTGTGCGTGTGCGTGTGTGCGTGTGTGCGTCCCGAAATCGTTTCCAGAACATGACGCAGAAACCGTTAAATATTTCTTTACGAAACTTTGCATGTCTATCAAGACTCATGCTGAACTGGTACCTTTTGCTATTTAGGAATTTTAGAAATTTTTATATTTTTTTGTTTCCATGGCAACAAGTTGGACTTAGGTTCTATAAGGGTGGTGTTTGTTTCCGGAGCGTAACTCAAAAACCGTTAAATACTTTCTTACAAAACTTTGCATGTCTACCAGGCACATACTGAACTGGTGCCTTTTGATATTTAGCACTTTTAGAAAATTTTATTTTTATCCCCCGCCCAACGAAGTCCGTCCGTCACGTTTCGTTTCCGGGCATAACTCAGAAATTGTTAAATATTTTTTCATGAAACTTTGCATGTTTATCAGGTACATGCTCAACTGGTGCCTTTTGCTATTTAAATCTTTTTGAAATTTTTATTTTTTTATTTTTCCATTGCAACAAGTTGAACATTTAGAAATTTATGAATTCTTCTTTTAAATGCCAAAAAATTCAACTTGATACCCATTTAACCTGTTATTATTAAGTGATAATAAAGTTTTTTTGTGTGCCGACATTTTGTGTTTGTCATCATTTGGAGGTGTCTCCCATAGTTGGGGAAACCGTGCATGCCTTCTACCAAGTTGTCAGTATGTGCCTCAATAATGGTTGAGGGTAACTTTCGTTTAATGACTTCATTATAAAATCAATACTTCTGCATTGATTATGACAAATGAGTGTGCAATAAGATGGCATACTTCTCTATGAAACTTTTTACCGTTTTCAGCACATGTTGATATGAAGGCTTGGAGATTTAACATTCATATTTATAATATTTTCTTGTTTGTTTTTTCACTTTATAATATCACATGACCATATTGTTGAAAAGCCACGACATCATCATCTTGGAGAACTTTCCTCATTCACTTGCGAAGTCTGCTGGAGCAGCTGCCTTTCAATCAGTATAGGTTTGTTATCACTGGGGACTTCAATATGGAGCAGTCTGTCCGTGACAACAATGCACTTTTCAAACTCATGGAGCAGTTTACATTGGCCCAGTTTATCAACAAACCAACCCACAACCTATGGGGGTTCACTAGACTTGAGGGGCGGTCGGGTAGCCTAGTGGTTAAAGCGTTCGCTCGTCACGCCGAAGACCCGGGTTCGGTTCCCGACATGGGTACAATGTGTGAAGCCCATTTCTGGTGACCACCCTGCCGTGATATTGTTGGAATGTTGCTAAAAGCGGCGTAAAACCTAACTCACTCACTCACAAGACTTGATCTTCTGTAATGAGCCCATCTCAACAGGAGTCTTTCCAGTTCCATACACTGACCATCATCCTGTGTGGGGTGTGGCGGAATAGGTGTAGTATATTGAAGTGACTATCATTATGTCTTTGTATGTTAATCAATGTGGTAATGAACTGAACTTTTTGAATCTTAATATTTTGCATTTTATCTACTATGTCCAAAGCAACATCTTGGGTTTGAACTGGTAATGACCATAGTCACATATCACAAACGAATACCATTATGTTAACAAATATGTTAACAAAATGTGACTTTTAATGTTTTTTCTTTCTCCCACCCTAATGAATTCAGTAGTAAATGTAGTTACTGGTTTTGCCAGTTTGTACTTCCATCAAGTTTTTGTGGAGAAGGTTTCATATTTTTCTTGAACTTCATAGAAATTGTGTTATGCAGCAATTTATTTTGTTTCTCAGGATATTTTGCATTTACATCAAGTAGATGCTCCCCTGCTGCCTTTTACTCCTTACAACATTATGAATATTTTCAAATGTATGTGTTTGTGTGATCAAATTTCACTATTGTTGACATAATATACACTTCATTTGCTGGGAAGGAGACTTGGCCATGTTAGTGGCAAACTCTTCTTTTTGTTTACAATTTCCATGACAAGTTCCACCTTGGTTAAAAAAGTGTGGGTTTGTTTAGATTTAATTATGTCATATTCTGCAACAGGGGCGGGGGATATAGCTATGTTAGAGTTTAGTGGCAAACTCTTGTTTACATTTCCATGGCAACTTGTCAGCTTAAGCGTGTCGGCTTAATGTGGAAGGAAAGCCCAAAGTGATGCAGGTCTAAGGCGTTTACCACTTTAGAAACCAACAAGCACGGGCATGGGCTGACAAACCTAGAAACACAATTGGGGCAAACCGGGATTCGAACCCACAATCATGGGTTTCTGGCGTGCCCAAGGGACGCAACTCTTCACAGCTAATAGCGGTGCTTTAGACGACTGGGCCACCTGTGCCCCCCCAAACTTCTAAATAAAACTGGCCTGCAGAATGTCATGTTGTTTGAGTGAACCCCGTCTACAATTTAAAAAAATATATAATTCACTTGTGAAAGAATGTTTATTACAACTGAACGTATGTAAGGGTACAGCAAGTTCCCTTGATACCAAAATTATAAAATGGTTGTAAGTATGCTGGCCACTGGTCACTGATTTAACCTTCGCAGACGAGAAAATTAAAAACTGAACATGGGAGTCCTGCACGACTCATATACAACACACTTGATGATTTGTCAAAAGAGTTGTTTTTAAGGTTTTCGGGAAGCATTCTTTTAAATTGGGAAAATTGTCATTTTCACTTGTTTCAGACATACTTATGTAATTGATCTTATCAGAAGTCTGAGCTTGCATGTGTTGAAATGAAAAAGAGCTGGGAAGGATGAGGTAGACGAAGGGAAATGCTTGAATATTTTCAAAAGCGATGTTAAACTTGGTACTCTTGTCATTGGGAAAGGGACCACCTCCGTGGTCTCGTGGATAGAACTTCTGGCCAGAGAGTTGAAGGTCAGTGGTTTGATCCGCGGTCTGGTCATTCCAACCGATGTTAAAAGATGGCAGTTATTGTTACCCTGCCTGTCGCTCAGCATTAAGGGGATAAAACCCAATTTCACCTCGCCGTTTTGGAAGGGTTAGGATCCACTGTTGCACGCCCACCACAACCCTTTTTGAAGCATACATGTTGTTATATGGCACTGTAATTTATTGTTGATGAGGCATAGTGGTTTTTCTTCGTAGTAGTTCCCCTTGGAAGACAATGCTCAAATTCTAAAAACATGTAGCAATGCACGTAACTATCATGATATAACATTTATACTAAGTTTTCCTATAATAATTAGATCAAGTGTTTTATAAGTTATCATAGTGTAATACTTATACATCATTTCATACAATTATATACTCTTCAAAAAAAGAAACTTGACACTGACTTTCAAAATGTAATATAATGCGATTGTTTCAAAATAGGACACAGAAACCATAATTGAAACACTGTTTGAAGCATACATGTTGTCATATGGCACTGTAATTTATTGTTGAACAATGAGGCATAGTGGTTTTTCTTTGTTGTAGTAGTTCCCCTTGGAAGACAGAATACACAAATTCTAAAAACATGTAGCAAGGCACGTAACTGTGGAAAAAAGAAATTAACGGTATCTCTGATAAGCTGGCAAAGTTTCATTCATGTAACTTCAGTAGTCTCTGAGAAAACTTGTCCCTATTTCACTCAGTATGCACAAAGTTGAAAAGCATAGAGTAAGGGCCTTAACTCATGTGAAATCATGACCAGTAAATGATCAGTGTGTAAAATTTCATTCCTCTAACTTGAGAAAATTTGTCCACATAGAGATGTTGAAGGACGGACTTGGTGGCAGGGGATAACAACCTGATGGTGATGTTCCCGATGAACACATTGGTCACCCGAGGGAAAGATAAGTAGGCTAATGTCATGACCTGGCTTAAAACAGTAGAGGGGCAGTCGGGTAGCCTAGTGGTTAAAGCATTAGCTCGTCACGCCGAAGACCTGGGTTCGATTCCCGACATGGGTACAATGTGTGAAGCCCATTTCTGGTGTTCCCTGCCGTGATATTGCTGGAATATTGCTAAAAGCGGTGTAAAACCATACTCACTCACTCACTAAAACAATAGAAAACTTCCTTAAACGTTTAAATATCTTAGTCTTGAGAACCAGAAGGCTTTGGACGATATCTTAGTCTTAGTTTAAATATCTTAGTCTTGAGAACCAGAAGGCTTTGGACGATGAAACTTGGTCAATAATCATGGCTTTAAGTAGGATTAAGTCTTTGGCATTAAGAAATTGGTTGAACATGAAATTGGCTGTGTCTAACAAAAAAGTATAATTTTTTTAATTTGTAGTTTACATGATGTACGGCTTTTCCATTGGATGAGAGGTCGGTCACATGACCGCGAAATTGACGTTCATTAGTGTTCTTGAAATGATGTAAACACTGACGGACACATTCCGACGTTCATTCAGTTTGGCCCTCACTCTATGAAGGTTCATACTCCAATGAACTCACACAAAGTGAAGGTCAATTCTTAAATGTTAATGTTTATATTAAGGCCTATCACCCTGGGGGCATGGGTGGCCAAAGTGTGTATGGTTGTTGGTTTGATTCACGGATCACCTCATTATGTTTCTGATGAAATCTGTTGTCCATATTCGAAGATAAATTTCAAGAAATAATAGTGTGTGAATACGAACACATATAATAAGAGGAGGAAATCTTCATCAGTAAAGTGTAAAGCAGTCCGATCTTGTTTGTCCTGAATGTTGGCGTCTGCACCTCTCTCCAGGAGCAATTCACAAAGGGCGGCAAACCCCTTAGCCGATGCAATATGTAATGCGGTATTGCCTTTGAAGTCCACGGCATTAGCATCAGATCCTGCATCAAGCAACAGTTCTGCTATTTCAGTGAGTCCTCCAAAACAGGCAAAGTGTAACGCACTTCTGCGGTCATAATCTACCTTGCGACAATCAGCACCCCTAAAGAGCAGTTCTGACACAATCTCCGTCTGGCCTAATTCTGACGCGATGTGCAGTGGTGTCTTCTGCCCTTTTTCCTGACTGTCTACCTTGCAATCTTTGTTCAAAATCAACTTGACGGTTTCAGCACAGCCACTGCGCACTGCAAAATGTAACACACTTGATCCCTCCTTGTTCGTGTGATGGATCATCTGTACCCCTTCTGAAAACATTTCGTTTGTTAGTTTGGTGTTCCCATACAGAGCTGCCACCATGATTGGCGTCACACCCTGCTTGTTCTCAACATTCACGTTGGCGCCATGGGCAACCAGCAGATGGAACAATTTCACATCATTGTTTCTACAGGTGTAGTAGACTGGTGCAACTCCATACATATTTCGGTGGTTCACCACGCATCCATGTTGCAGAAGCATTTCGACATTCCTGCGATGACCTCCTTCAACTGCTGGGAAAAGAGCTGTGTTTCCTGCCTTGTTCTCCAAATGTACTGATGCTCCTTTTCGAAGAAGTGACTCCACAATATTCTCTGAATTGGATTGACTGGCAATATACAAAGCAGTTAAGCCATCATTTGATTTCAGGTTCAAGTCAGCGCCATGATTTAAGATGATGTCGACAGTTCCTTCATGGCCAACCGATGCCGCTCTGTGAAGAGGCGTTTCACCCTTTTTGTTCTTCAAGTTTACCGTTTCTCTGGTGGTCAACCGTTCAGTCAGGTCCTGATTTCCAGACTCTACTGCCAGATGCAGGGCACTGTTTCCTTCTCCATTTACTGATGTCCTATTGGCTCCTTTCTCCAACAGTTGTCCACATAAGCTCACATTGCCTGCTCTTGTTGCACAGATCAGTGGCGTGTCGCCCTTGCTGTTCTTCGAGCTAACATTATGAACACCCATAAACTTTCGTGACAGCAGTAGTCTTGCACCTTCTTCATTTCCATAGTGACAGCAGCCGCACAAAGATTCAGTGTACTCTTCAGAAGATAAATGTCTATTTGCGATGATTTTCCTGAGAAAGGTATTCTTCCCACAGCTGGAGACTAAGAAGAGAAACTTCAAGTCTGACTGAAAATCAATTGAGTTCATGAGGTCATTGATGTTTGTCTTTTCGAGAAACTTTGCAACAAAGTCCTCGTTTCCAAAAATACTGTGTGACAGAACCTCATATAGATTGCCTGAGTTTATTTCTGTGAGAAAACGGTTTATGAGTAAAGGAAGTATTTCCTCCGACACAGAAATAACTTTACCTTGCAACTCGGGGTGCAAATTGTCGCTTCCTATCACCAACCAATCCTTCAGACAACCCATACTACTGAACTCCACAAGGAATGCAGGGTTTGTCGATCCAATAGTCGAGGCAACGCTTTCATATATTGATGGATGAGAAAATATAACACATCTCCCTTCTCTCCTGAAGTAACTGCCTTCAAAACGTTTCAAGATGTCTCTTATTTTCTTCGTTTTGATGGTCGGCAGTCCGGGTTCGTCAATGCTAACCTTCTTGCCAAGCGAATGCATGTTAAACCTCCCATCGTGCTTCAGTAGAAGGCTAAAGACAACTTCCACTGATTTGTCCTGGATAATGTGCCCTAGAGTTTCGTTCAGAAACGCGATGGGATGCTGGAAAAATGATTCGGGATCAGACAGAGCACCCTGCAAGTTGAAGAGCAGCTCACAGCAGTGAGGGAAGCCGTGAGGAAGGTGAATGTCAATCATCCTCTGAGAAACAGTCCTTGGTAGCGTCAGGTTGTACTTGTGTTCGAATGATTTAATAATGTCTAATTTGTCATTTGGTTGCAATTGCTTATCTTTGGAGATGTCGATTATGGAATCATTTCTGAAAATGTTGTTGACAAATTTGCCAAGTTTGGGCCTGGCATCCTTCCAGATATATCCTCGACTGACACAGACGAGTTTCACAAGCCGGGCTTGCGTCCTGTCTTCACCAGTGCCAAACATTGCTTCTGAGTTCGTCTGGTCCAGCCTGGCTTTCACATCTTCCAGGACAGGAATCCATTTCCTGACAGTGCTTTCGTCAAACTCAAACGCGCCCCATAAATCATTGATCATGACAACTGTATTGTTGGTGAATTTACATGCAAAGTACTCTTCTGGTGTTTTGGGCACAAAGACTGTCCAACTGAGCTTCCTCAAGTTGTGTAGCAGCAGGTACCCCAGCGTAGTCTTGCCTTCTCCAGGGCACCCAGTGATGGCCACTGTGGAGTGGAGTTGCAGGTGCTGGTCTGCTGCAGTGCAAACACTTGTCCACGCGCGACCCTTCACATGAGTACTCACTTCATCGTCCCATCGATCTGCAAAGTAAATATTTTTACTGAATATTTATTTGATTTTAGTATTGCATACCTATCAACATACCTGAGTCACGCAGATTTTTTCAGCACAGATGGCTCCTGAGTACTGCTCAAAATTGTTAGAATCATTTTGGGCTGTGGTGCTTTAGATATAAGAGCGACACTGACTTGGTTGATACATATCATCGTATCCTAATTGCGTGGATCGATGGTCATGTCAATCACTGGATTGTCTGGTCCAGACTCGATTATTTACAGACCACCGTCATATAGCTGGAATATTGCTGAGTGCAGCGTTAAACAACCAACAACCAACTGAACCAAAACTATGAACCATAATATGGAGAATAGAAGTGAGCATTCCTTGGCAGTATTTCAGAAAGACAGAGATGGCAGAAAGTCTATCAACATGAGGTCAAAACTAAAATATTTTGCGAAAAAGATCTCAAAAGGGTACTGTGTACCTTGTTGGTGTTTTTGTAGAGGAGAAACTACAATCTGTGTCCCACCATAGCACACGTTCTGGCCATCCAGCTCATCACGCTGTGCACTGCCTGAAACAGAAGATGTTTTTGATTGTTTGTTATTTAATGCAGCACTGAGCAATATTCCAGCTATATGACGGCGGTCCGTAAATAATCGAGTCTGGACCACACAATCCAGTGATTGACATCATGAGCATCAATCCATGCAATTGGGATACGATGATATGCATCAATCAAGTCCTGATGGTCCGATCCCGTTAAACGCTTCTTACGAGAACCATAGTCGCCTTTTAAGGAAAGCATGGGTATCTGAAGACCCCGGATCTGCTCGGGTCAGTGGTTTTTGAAGAGGAGACCGTACCATCAGTGTCCCACCATCAAATTCCTTCCAACAGTCCTGCATGATACCATGTTTTGAGACATTGACTTGTAATATGGAAACATTTTCCTATATGCCTATTTCTGTAACTATCTCTTAAACATATGGACAAGTTTGTAAATTTCAAAACTTTGTATTCACCGTCAGACACTGTGATAAACAACAACAAAGTCTACAGACCTTCAGTGTTGATGACCTGCGTCCCATACACAGAGACGTTCTCAGCATCGATGTTCAAGTTGTCCCCCCTGTACCCAGCCCCCACCTGACTGTGCCTTGGGCGCCTCCGTCTTGCTCTGCCATCGTTTTCTGCAATGAGAGTGTTGTCTATATGCTGCATGCTGCAATCCTAAAACAATCCTCCTTGGTCCTATGTCTGGTGGTCTTATGTCTCTGTGTGCACTGGTCCTATGTCTGTGTGTAGGTGTTCTATGTCTGTGTGTAGGTGTTCTATGTCTGTGTGTAGTGGTTCTATGTCTGTGTGTAGTGGTTCTATGTCTGTGTGTAGTGGTCCCATGTCTGTGTGTAGTGGTCCTATGTCTGTGTGTAGTGGGTTCTATGTCTGTGTGTAGTGGTCCTATGTCTGTGTGTAGTGGTCCTATGTCTGTGTGTAGTGGTCCTATGTCTGTGTGCAGTGGTCCTATGTCTCTATGCAGTGGTCCTATGTCTGTGTGTAGTGGGTTCTATGTCTGTGTGTAGTGGTCCTATGTCTGTGTGTAGTGGGTTCTATGTCTGTGTGTAGTGGTCCTATGTCTGTGTGCAGTGGTCCTATGTCTGTGTGCAGTGGTGCTATGTCTGTGTGCAGTGGTGCTATGTCTGTGTGTAGTGGTCCTATGTCTGTGTGCAGTGGTCCTATGTCTGTGTGCAGTGGTCCTATGTCTGTGTGTAGTGGGTTCTATGTCTGTGTGTAGTGGTCCTATGTCTGTGTGCAGTGGTCCCATGTCTTTGTGTAGTGGTCCTATGTCTGTGTGTAGTGGGTCCTATGTCTGTGCTGGTCCTATGTATGTGGTGGTCTTATATTTGTGCAGTGGTCCTATGTATGTGGTGGTCCTATATTTGTGCAGTGGTCCTATGTCTTTGAATGGGTCTTATGTCTATGCAGTCATCCTACGTCTGTAGTGGTCCTTTCTGCAGTGGACCCATATCTGTAATGGTCCTATATTTGTGCAATGGTCCTATGTCTGTGAAGTGGTCTTATGTCTGTGTGCAGTGGTCTTATGTCTGTGAAGTGGTCTTACCTCTGTGCAGTCATCCTATGTCTCTAGTGGTCCTATGTCTGTGTGCAGTGGTCCTATGTCTGTGCAGTGATCCTTTGTATGTGTGTTGTGGTTTTATGTCTGTGTGTAGTGGTCCTATGTCTATGTGTAGTGGTCCTTTGTCTGTGTGTAGTGGTCCTATGTCTGTGTGTAGTGGTCCTATGTCTATGTGTAGTGGTCCTATGTCTGTGTGTAGTGGTCCTATGTCTGTGTGTAGTGGCCCTATGTCTGTGTGTAGTGGGTCCTATGTCTGTGTGCAGTGGTTCTATGTCTGTGTGTAGTGATCCTATGTCTGTGTGTAGTGGCCCTATGTCTGTGTGTAGTGATTCTATGTCTGTGTGTAGTGGTCCTATGTCTGTGTGCAGTGGTCCTATGTCTGTGTGCAGTGGTCCTATGTCTGTGTGCAGTGGTCCTATGTCTGTGTGTAGTGATCCTATGTCTGTGTGTAGTGGGTCCTATGTCTGTGTGTAGTGATCCTATGTCTGTGTGCAGTGGTCCTATGTCTGTGTGTAGTGATCGTATGTCTGTGTGCAGTGGTTCTATGTCTGTGTGTAGTGATCCTATGTCTGTGTGCAGTGGTCCTATGTCTGTAGTGGTCCTATGTCTTCCTGTAGTGGTGCTATGTCTGTGTACAGTGGTGCTATGTCTATGTGTAGTGGTGCTATGTCTGTGTGTAGTGGTTCCTATGTCTGTGTGTTGTGGTCCTATGTCTGTGTGCAGTGGTCCTATGTTTGTGTGCAGTGGTCCTATGTCTGTGTGTAGTGGTCTTATGTCTGTGTGTAGTGATCCTATGTCTGTGTGTAGTGGTGCTATGTCTGTGTGTAGTGGTTCTATGTCTGTGTGTAGGTGTTCTATGTATGTGTGTGCAGTGGTCCTATGTCTGTGTGTAGTGATCCTATGTCTGTGTGCACTGGTTCTATGTCTGTGTGTAGTGGGTCCTATGTCTGTGTGCAGTTGTGCTATGTCTGTGTGTAGTGGGTCCTATGTCTGTGTGCAGTGGTCCTATGTCTGTGTGCAGTGGTCCTATGTCTGTGTGTAGTGGGTCCTATGTCTGTGTGTAGTGGTCCTATGTCTGTGTGTAGTGGTTCTATGTCTGTGTGTAGTGGGTCCTATGTCTGTGTGTAGGTGTTCTATGTCTGTGTGTAGTGGTTCTATGTCTGTGTGTAGTGGGTCCTATGTCTGTGTGTAGTGGTCCTATGTCTGTGTGCACTGGTTCTATGTCTGTGTGTAGTGGGTCCTATGTCTGTGTGCAGTGGTTCTATGTCTGTGTGTAGGTGTTCTATGTCTGTGTGTAGTGGTTCTATGTCTGTGTGTAGTGGGTCTATGTCTGTGTGTAGGTGTTCTATGTCTGTGTGTAGGTGTTCTATGTCTGTGTGTAGTGGGTTCTATGTCTGTGTGTAGTGGTCCTATGTCTGTAGTGGTTCTATGTCTGTGTGTAGGTGTTCTATGTCTGTGTGTAGTTGGTTCTATGTCTGTGTGTAGTGGTCCTATGTCTGTGTGCAGTGGTCCCATGTTTTTGTGTAGTGGTCCTATGTCTGTGTGTAGTGGGTCCTATGTGTGAAGTGTAGTGGTCCTATGTCAGTTTGCAGTGGTCCTATGTCTCTATGCAGTGGTGCTATGTCTGTGTGCAGTGGTGCTATGTCTGTGTGTAGTGGTCCTATGTCCGTTTGTAGTGGTCCCATGTCTGTGTGTAGTGGGTCCTATGTCTGTGTGTAGTGTAGTGGTCCTATGTCAGTGTGCAGTGGTCCTATGTCTCTATGCAGTGGTGCTATGTCTGTGTGTAGTGGTTCTATGTCTGTGTGCAGTGGTCCTATGTCTGTGTGTAGTGTAGTGGTCCAATGTCTCTATGCAGTGGTGTTATGTCTGTGTGTAGTGGTTCTATGTCTGTGTGTAGTGGTGCTATGTCTGTGTGTAGTGGGTCCTATGTCTTTGTGTAGTGGTTCTATGTCTGTGTGTAGTGGTCCTATGTCTGTGTGTAGTGGTCCTATGTCTGTGTGTAGTGGTTCTATGTCTGTGTGCAGTGGTCCTATGTCTGTGTGTAGTGGGTTCTGGGTTCTATGTCTGTGTGTAGTGGTGCTATGTCTGTGTGTAGTGGGTTCTATGTCTGTGTGTAGTGGTCCTATGTCTGTGTGTAGTGTAGTGGTCCAATGTCTCTATGCAGTGGTGTTATGTCTGTGTGTAGTGGTTCTATGTCTGTGTGTAGTGGTGCTATGTCTGTGTGTAGTGGGTCCTATGTCTGTGTGTAGTGGTTCTATGTCTGTGTGTAGTGGTCCTATGTCTGTGTGTAGTGGTCCTATGTCTGTGTGTAGTGGTTCTATGTCTGTGTGCAGTGGTCCTATGTCTGTGTGTAGTGGGTTCTGGGTTCTATGTCTGTGTGTAGTGGTGCTATGTCTGTGTGTAGTGGGTTCTATGTCTGTGTGTAGTGGTCCTATGTCTGTGTGTAGTGGTTCTATGTCTGTGTGTAGTGGTCCTATGTCTGTGTGCAGTGGTGCTATGTCTGTGTGCAGTGGTGCTATGTCTGTGTGTAGTGGGTCCTATGTCTGTGTGAAGTGGTGCTATGTCTGTGTGCAGTGGTGCTATGTCTATGTGTAGTGGTGCTATGTCTGTGTGTAGTGGTCCTATGTCTCTATGCAGTGGTGCTATGTCTGTGTGTAGTGGTGCTATGTCTATGTGTAGTGGGTTCTATGTCTGTGTGCAGTGGTCCTATGTCTGTGTGCAGTGGTGCTATGTCTGTGTGCAGTGGTGCTATGTCTATGTGTAGTGGTGCTATGTCTGTGTGTAGTGGTCCTATGTCTGTGTGTAGTGGTGCTATGTCTGTGTGTAGTGGTGCTATGTCTCTATGCAGTGGTGCTATGTCTGTGTGCTATGTCTATGTGCAATGGTGCTATGTCTGTGTGTAGTGGTCCTATGTCTGTGTGTAGTGGTCCTATGTCTGTGTGCAGTGGTCCTATGTCTGTAGTGGTCCTATGTCTTCCTGTAGTGGTGCAATGTTTATCTGTAGTGGTCGACTGTATATTTGTATTGGTCCTATGTGTTTCCATAGTGATCCTATATGTATGTGAAATGGTCCTATGCATATTTACAGTGGCCCCGTTGTCTATTTTTAGTGCTCCAAGCCTGCGTGCAGTGGTCCTAACTCTGTTAGCATTGTTTATACAGCTCTTTAATTTGTTAAATCAAAGGGGGGGTTGCTGGAGAAGTAATTAAATGCACAATCTCATTAAAATCAGACCTTAGTTCTCGCTACCGCGAAACAAAGATCTGAAGACATCCCATGAGGGGTCACGTCGGAACGACCTCTCATCCGACCAATCAGTGCGTCGCTTACCAGATTATGAAAGTGACAGTCGGAATGTGATTTGTAATCATGCAACCTCGAAAACTTTTACACGGGGTCCATACAATCTAGACCATCTATTAGCCATTCCAGAATGTTCTTTTGTTTAGGTTTCAAATTTGTAATCGAGAATTTGTCAAAATATGTTTCGAAGCGTAGTCGACAATTTGAAATTAGTGCCGTAAAGCAAGAGAAAGCTGCCTTCTGATTGGTCATTCCATTGGTCAGTCAAAGTTCATGCAAGGTCGGTCTGACGTGACCCGTAATGGGATGTCCTCAGATCTTTGTTTAGCGGTAGCGAGAACTAAGATCTGATTTTAATGAGATTGATGCACAAACAACTTTATGTAACATGGCAGGTATACCTTATGATTAAAGGAAGGAGGTAACTATGATCTAACGTATTGCACACCTCTTATAACATGAAGCCAACCGGACCCTGTCACGGTTAACTTACCCATAATCAGCTAATCCTTCAGTTCATCACACGGTGTAATTAAGGAAATAATCCATCGAAAGTCAGCTAAATGTAGCACTAGCAAGTCGAATTGCGCAGTTGCCACGTATGCGTCGCTGGGAAGACCCAAGATCTATTTTTAGTTTAAACCCGGCGGTTCATCTACATCAGCAGTTTCGAACCAGCAAAGTAAGTATTTCCCCCCGAAGGATACAGTTGGCTGTTTTTGATGGGATGCGCTTTGTTATGTTCCTCAACTATCGCATCAATGAGAATTAGTTGAATATTGTCTTGCAGAACAGCCACCGGTTTAGCAGCCAAGTGAAGGGTTACCTTTTACGTGTGACTCATTCAGTTTCGACTCATTCTCTCTTGGAGGTGAGGTGAAATGGGGTTTAACGTCGCGTCCAAGATTATAGCACTTATATAGCGACGTGCATGCACGTGTGTGTGTTTGTGTGGTTGCTTGTACTAGTCCGGACTGATGCCGATTTATAGTGCTAGCTCACTGAGATACCATGCCGCAGTTTAACATGAATACCCCACTCAGACACAGTATACTGACTCCGAGCCGACCAGTCCTTGTTTTAGCCCCTTCATGCCGAGCGCCAGACAGGGTAACAACAAATACCATCTTTTAACGTCTTTTGGTATGACGCAGCCGGGAATCGAGCCCCGGATCCTCCGCTCTCCGGGCGGACGCTCTACCACTAGACCACGGAGGCGGTCATTCTCTCTTGGAAAACAAATCGTGAAACACGTGCATGGTGTGACGCGTTTGTCTGTAAAAAATCGAGTCTGGACCAGACAATCTAGTGATTGACATCATGGGCATCAATCAACGCAATTGGGATACAATGACTTGCATCAACCAAGTCAGCGAGCCTGACCACCGATCCCGTTACAACAAGCTTGATTGTGGGTTCGAATCCCGGTTCGCCCCGATGATGTTTCTAGGTTTGTCAGCACCATACCCGCTTGTGGGTTTCACCGAAGTGGTAAACGTTTGAGACCTGCATCATTTCGGGCTTTCCTCCCACATTAAGCTGAGACGCCTCGATATAACTGGAATACTGTTAAAAGCGGATTTAAACCCAACTCACTCACTCACTCAACGTTAAACTGGATGATGGTTCCATGAAACAGGTACCTCGCTATCGAATGCAACGAACTCCGGAGACAGTTTCGGCCATGTTACTCCCACCCACCTTTGTTGATGATGACTACAGTTTGTTCGATCTATTCAAAGATGACTTTTTTAATATTGTGCCTGTGCCTCTAAAGGGGGGTGATATACCTGTTCCGCCAACCTGCTGTGACGATTCCGAAATTGCGAATTTCATTGCAACAAATCAGAATGTGAACACTTCCCAATCTCATTAAAATCAGATCTTAGTTCTCGCTACGGCTAAACAAAGATCTGAGGACATCCCATTACGGGTCACGTCAGACCGACCTTGGGCTAACTTTGACCGACCAATGAAATGACCAATCAGAAGGCGGTTTTCTTGTGCTTTACGGCACTTATTTCAAATTGTCGACTACGCTTCGAAACATATTTTGACAAATTCTCGATTACAAATTTGAAACCTGAACAAAAGAACATTCTGGAATGGCTAATAGATAGTCCCGATTGTATTGATTCAGTCGTTAAACCCGTAACTATCGTTCGGAATACCCCGTGTAAAAGTTTTCGAGGTTGCATGATTATAAATCACATTCCGACTGTCACTTTCATAATCTGGTAAGCGACGCTCTGATTGGTCGGATGAAAGGTCGTTCTGACGTGACCCCAAATGGGATGTCTTCAGATCTTTGTTTCGCGGTAGCGAGAACTAAGGTCTGATGTTAATGAGATTGAACACTTCCAGGAAGACCGCGTATGACATGAAAATCGTCACTAGATTCATGCACGAGCAGAATGACTTCAGATAACTAGACGCCATTCCGGCCCATGAACTTTGTAAACTTTTATGCAAATTCTTTACAAGTAGAGATTGCTGCAGAGCATCAATTGTTCCCCGCTTTGTGCAGAGGAAGGAAGTGTAAGCTATGGGAGGAGAGAATTGGTGTAAAGTACAAATTGGTTGTTATTAATGTACTTATCTTTGGAAAGCACAATAAAAGAAACAGTGTCTTTAAATGGTCAGCACAAAGAAAATCCAGGCAAGAAAACTGGGCCTGTCAGGCAAAACTTGATATATACCCACTATTAGTACCAATAGAAAAAAAAGATTTCAAGTCCTATATAGATAACACAACAAATGTCATTCTAAAACATGCTTTTGCAGCAAATATCGATATTTCTGGTCAACATGTTGGTTGGGTTAAATAAAACAAACTTTTTCAACAGTAAACACAAAAAATGTAATGAATCCACTGTAAATAAACTTCAGTTCAAATGTAAAAATTCACGCATTCATTAATGGATTCCCATTTATCTAGCAGCAAGTTAAGAACATAGTTTGGTCACGTTATCTATAACTATTGAGAATTATCTTACAAATTGTGAAAACAAAGGTCATGGGTCACTTTTCTCAAAACTTCGTTTTAGTAATCACAAACTAAAAATTGAAAAAACCCACCAACCCCATTGGAGCAACGTCTCTGTAAATCATGTGATGTCTCAGAAGATGAGCAACATTACGCACTGTCCTACATGATACAACCTAGAAGGAGAATCACAAATACTCCCCAATCATGATAAAGAATTTGGTACACTCTGTTAAAAGGAACAGTTCTTAATAATTTTACCAACAGTTATCCAGAAACAACTTCCAAGATCTGTTATCATATCAACAATTACAAACAAATTCCTTGTATGTACAACTTTACCATAGTTTTGATCAATTCTCATATTGTTTCCATATCATAAAAATTCACTTTTGAAAAAAATTGTTATAATGTACCTCCTTTGTATGTTGAATGTTCCTGTGTTTTTTAATTGTCGTTTATTGTGCATGTATTTTGTAGTTTGTGATTGTGTAATATTGCCACTGTTTCTTCGTGGCATGTTCCGCAATACACATCTCATCTAAAACATCTTTGATGTATGATAGTTTCTTACAGTTGAGTACGGGGGCACAGTTGGCCCAGTCGCCGAAGGCGCTGCAATTCGCTATCCAGAGTTGTGTCCCCTTGGCACGTCAGAAACCTATGACAGTGTGATTGAATCTCGGTTCGTCCCGATTTTGTTGTCAGCACAAAACCCTTGCTCGTTGGTATAACCAAAGTGGTGAACGTCTAAGACCGGCATCACTTCGGACTTTGCTCCCACATCAAGCTGACACGGAATACTATTCAAAACGGCATTAAACCCAACTCACTCACTCACTCACTCACTCACTCACTCTTGTGTACGGTTCCGTTTGGTTAACTGGGTTTGTGTTGTGATTGCTTCCGGTTCAGATTTGAAGAATGTTTAGAAGAATGTTACTGTGTTCAACCCAAATATCGTGAAGATATCATGCAACCGCATTAACTTTTAGATGCAACCGTATTATCTTTTAGAAAAATAATTGCAAACTACAGACCAACCTGTTGATTTCCTATGTATCCAGAAGCAAAGAACATATACGGGTGTATAATCTCTCCAGGAAGTTAAAAAAAACTGTCAAAGCAAAAAAAACACATGCAGAACCGTAAACCGCCGCATGAAACGGTATGAATCATACATTACATACAGTGAACTATTTGAAACAATACTGTGCTCAACTATGCCCAGCAAGCCTCAATACATGTGATTATGAAGGCAACAAATTACAAATTTCTAATATCAAACCCGTTGTTTTGCATGTATTGTTTATTGAACAAAGTAATGCTTTATAGAAACCTGGTATATAATCGTGTTGAACAATATGTTGCAACAGCAATGTGAAGTTGAAAGATTGAATGCGCGTGACAGGCTTCAACCTTTCTCAATGGCTGCCTGAATAACATACGATACATTGCAAAGGTAGTGCGCAACAGAGCTGTTGGGGTAAAGGAGATAAGCACTCACTCTCAGTGATACAGCTTGAATAAGATACGATGTACAGCATCGCAAGGTCAGTGCTTGATAAAGCTCTATACTACGCCTTTTTGCTAAAGGAGGTAATCGCTCAATGCGCAATAGTTTATTCTTACAAAATATAGACCGGTTAACTTTAGCGAAATGAGATATGTATTTCCCCTAAACATTTTTAGCTCTTTTAAAAACAGAATGAACAAATGTCATGGTACATCTGCATTACGAAACGTGACAAAGTCTCAGAATAGCAAGACGATTTTGAAGTATCGCTTATTGCTGGAAAAGATTAGCATCAACATTTCACGCACGTGATTTGTATGTTTCGTTTCGGTTACTGTGTGGCTTGACATTTCAAAGAAACCAACATGTCGACATACATGCAACTAACCTTTGAGGGGGATGATTGCCAGTATGGACAGGCAAAACAAAACAAAATTTTACGGGAAATCATACGATAAAGAGTTTATACACGTCAGGGAGGTACTGAAAACCAAACAAAAAATTCTAATACAAGAAGGTCCCGGAAACTAACCTATGCGTGCGCAGTCCCTAAGTCAGAACGAAATTGACACATTATGGAAATCCGGGGAATTAGGTCTCGAAACTCCCGAGTCCATTTTGAATACACTTTGGTGGCACAACACGACACATTTTGGACTGCGTAGCGTTACTCCCCATAGAAATATGCACTGGGGAGACGTGATGTTAAATCAAGATGGAAATGGTATGGAGTACCTGCAGTTTGCTGAGCGGCAAATCAAAACACGCACTGGTGTAAACATCCGGGATGTTCGGACTGACACGCCGAAAGCTTGGGCGACAGGTGACAATGGCTGCCCCGTCCTTGCGTATGAGCGCTATGCAAACCTTAGACCAAATGGTTTCAGTGGCCATGACGCGCCTTTCTACTTGGCAACAAATTCTAAAACTGTTCCCGCTCCGACACATCCTTGGTTTAAGCGACAACCTGTTGGCATCAACAAGCTTGGGTCCATAATGAAACGCATGGCAGCGAATGCAAAACTTGAATCTACCAAACGGTTGACGAATCATTCCGCTCGAAAGTATCTGGTCCAAACTCTTTCAGAGAAGAATGTTCCACCTACTCAGATAATGCATATCAGTGGCCATAGAAATGTGTAGAGTTTCAATAACTGTTCACAAATTTCAGAAGAGCAGCACAAATACATCAGAAAATTGATTGACAGGCCTAGTGATTCTTGCACTTCACAATCACTGCTCTGTGTTCCGACTTGCAAACCGTCTCTGCCCCATCCCAAACTTTCAATGTGACAGCTAGCCAGTCTCGCACACTCAGCTCTATCTTTGCCGGTACAATCACCAATTCCGTGATGAATGTAAATTGTCTAAACCAGAGCAGTGACATGTCATTAGACACGAATCTCCAGTGATCGAAAGTTTGAAAACAGACTGTCATCGGGGGAATCCCTATCTGGGGTCATGTGACGTTGTGACCTTGGCCTTGTCAACAAACGATTACACTTGTTTTGTTATTGTTTTCGAAACATCACAGCAGTTTCGCAGGAAGTTCATTAAAGTAGATTGAGTGTTCGGGTGTTTTCTCCATTGCTAAAATTTTGATACTATAGTTGCGCTTGACGATGACTATTTACATGACTTTGTATTCATACGCATGACCTGATTTGAACTCGGGAAGCAACTTACAGCGTCAATCAGCTGATTTTTACGTAGGTACAAATGACGAGTAATAAATAAAATACTAAGCCAGCTCCCGTGTAATACCAATTTTATGAAACTCGTGAATAGTTTTGGTATCTGACTCGGTTTCGCTCTTCAGATACCAGAACTATTCGCTCGTTATATAAAATTGGTATTACACGGGAGCTCGTTTAGTATTCTATATTTACATAATCGATCAGATTGTCTTCTCTGGGCGCCGCCATTTTGTTCGAAGCAAATGCAAGTGATAAAAGAGATAGAATCTGATTGGTCAATACGAGGGACATAGAAGGGACATGACCAGTAATAGCCACTGGTGGCGCTACAGTCAAGTGAGTGAGTGAGTTGGGTTTTACGCCGCTTTTAACAGTATTCCAGTTATATCACGGCGTGTCAGCTTAATGTGGGAGGAAAGCCCGAAATGATGCAGGTCTCAGACGCTTAACACTTCGGTGAAACCCACGAGCACGGGTATGGTGCTGACAAACCTAGAAACATAATCGGGGCGAACCGGGATTCGAACCCACAATCATAGGTTTCTGGCGTGCCCAAGGGACGCAACTCTGCACAGCGAATTGCGGCGCCTTAGACGACTGGGCCACCCGAGCCCCCACAGAAAATAGGAAGAAAGCTGAGAAATATTTCCGCCAACATCCCACTGTCCACAACGTTCATTACGTTCAAATCACGGGCGCCAAGGCGAGACGGACTCTTAACAGAATAAAGTGTGAGTGAGTTAAAGTTTAACTTCACATCGGGAATATTTCAGCCACATCATGACGAAACAAAACTTGACATTAACAATTTATTATGAAACTGTATACAATTCTGCCGAGGAAGGGCAGTATGATAACTAGAATATCACAGATTTACATAAAACTAGTTAGAGAGCTTGTAAAAATATATTATCATTTTACAACACAATATAAAAACAGGCTATAGATCGCCAACAACTGAAGGTAGATCACCACGCTAGGGTCCATGAGGACTTACAGTACTTTTGCTACCTGCATGGACCCCAGCAGGATTTACATCATCCCTTCAGTTGTTGGCGATGGCTGACAAATTTAGCCACATATTAAAATAACACATAAAAAACGTGGTAGAAATATATACACTTTGAAAGACGTGGTCTTACATACCCTTTCAGGGGGACAATCATTTTATACTACTTTAACCCCCGTCGAGGATATAGCCACTAACAATCTCAGTTACTGATTCATACTACCAATTATATAAGTTATTTATTTATTTACAAAATATAGCAATAAAATTTACAAAATAAACATCAATTCAGGAGAAACAAGTGTACCCAAAATTAATTCCCGCACACCCATGTCCAAGGTGTGGAACATGATTCAAAAGATTAAGGGCAAAGGATCAAAATCAGGAGTAATACACTTTTGACTACTAAATCTGAAATTGCAAACAAGATGGTGACACTTTGGCAAACAATTCCTCATCATCTGACCATAACCCTCAGTTTCAGAGATATCAAAAACAGCAAGAATAGAAAAAGGTCAGTGAATTGTATACTGCCCAAGGACAAGCTCATGACACTGCAGCAGAAACCGACGACGTTCATTATCAGCTCCTCAAACACACATGCCCGATTCATGTTTGTAAATTCTACTTAATATAGTTGATGAAATAGGGACAATTGGAAATTTCCCTCCTTCGTTGGACAATGCTATTATCATTCCTATACCAAAGCCTTGACGTGATCATACAGATACCGCCCAATATCATTAATAAGCTGTTTGTAAAGTAATCGATAAGTCTGGTACTTTGGAGACCAATAACCTCCTGAGTGACGAGTGTGGTTTCCGAAAATAACAGTTACCAGTGACCATTTGGTGCGTTCAGAATCATGTATAAAAAAATAATTGTAAACAAACAATTACTGTATCATTCATTTCCGACTTAGAGACGACATATGATACAACGTGGGTGCATTGTATTTGAAAAGATTTGCATGAATTCGGATTGGGGTGCAGATTACCTCACTTATATCCATTTTTAAGCAACAGACAGTGGGCTCTACCCTGTCTGATAATTTCGATTAAAATCAGGGCGTCCCTCAAGGCAGCATTCTATCTCTCTCACTTTTCAGCATCAAAATTAAGTCTAGAACAATAGTGTTGATGGTTCACTTCTTGTGGACGATTTCAACATTTCTTGCCGTGGTAAGAAACATGCATACAATAGAAAGACAACAACAGCTCTGTCTTTACAAAACTGAACATTGGGCCAACGAAAATGGCTTCAAATTTTCTAAATCCAGAACAAATTGTATTCACCTTTGTCGTAAATCCAAACCGCATTTTAGATGGTACTCCTATCAATGTAGTGGAGGAGGCCACAATCCTGGGACTGATTTTTTACCCGTCATCTCACATACTTACCACACATCAAATATCTACCTGAAAGCTCTCAACTTGCTAAGAGTCGCCCATCCAGCTAAAACAAACAAACTCCTTGGTGAATCAACAAGAATTCTACCAATTACAAACTTAATATTATTCTCATAGATCCATTGTTAAAGATGGATCCAAGAACGGTGGCAAAATTGCAAGTGCCACCATCATTGGATCCAAAACTCCTCCCCCAAGACTCCCAGGTAATAGCTTTGGCCTCAGCAGTGAAGATTGGACTATCTCAACTGCTTTGACCTATATTAAACAACAAAACCAATCTATAAATTTCAGCATCATTTCAGATTCATTGTCTTGCCCTCAGGCACTAAAACTGTCTCCTCGAATCACCCTAAAATTTTACAATGATCTTTCACCTGGCCAATGTGACAAGGCCTTTTGCTGGCTTGCAAGTCATGTTGGCATGACTGTCTTGTACTGTGTTGTACATCTATTTTTCAAAAACAATATTCGCTGTTCGAGTCACTTTGTCTGTCACTCCTGGAAATCAGACATATTTGCAACATCGTTATCCGACTTCCCGTTGTCTGACCCAGCGATAGCACTGAGCTGCTCAGAATGATCACAAGTGCATTCCAAACACAGCCGGCTCTTGGAAAGGCCCCGCTCTTGGGTAATGAATTCTCGGTGAAGATTTTCATTCTTAACCTCCAGTGCCTTCATGATAGTTTTCATGCTCGTGACTTGTTTGAAAAGTTCAGACCATCTGACTGTATCGGGGAGAGTAGACGCAGATAGATCTTGCTGCAACGACAGGGAAATTTCGTTCATCTGGTACAGAGAATCTGCAAGCCGTCTGATATTGACCGTTCCCTTCATTTTACAGAAAGGACACTTCCCTCTCCGTCTACTAGAGACGGTCAGCTTCTCCAGTTCGTCCTCTACTTCTTTTGCTAGAGTCTGGTTTTCTTCAGAAAGCATTGGGAGAAACTGCTTCTTGAATGTGTCACTGGTAAAGTTACCGAATAAGTAGGTGACGAAGGCTTTGTTTCGTGAATGGTTGGTTGGTCGTGCCAAGATACTCTCTCTCCCGGCTTCAGACATGACATCAGTGGTTATCAGGCGGTCCAAGAGAGGAGTAGAGTGTAACTCGAGGCCCCGGATCAGAACGGGCGAAACCTTTCTTATCGATTCAATATATGCATCCGTATCTGGAAATGGAATAGGACATATTCAGTTCGGACATTCTGATAGCAATGTAACAAGTTTGGTTGCTGACCAATAGCAATAGGACATATTCAGTTCGGACATTCTGATAGCAATGCAACAAGTTTGGTTGCTGACCAATAGCAATAGGACATATTCAGTTCGGGCATTCTGATAGCAATGTAACAAGTTTGGTTGCTGACCAATAGCAAGGATTTTAATTTGAGTTGTTTAACATGGAGCTCAATTATTTTCCTGGTAACCGACTACTACAACATTTGTGATAAGATACTGGTTATTATGTTTTATTCCCTACTATGGTGGCCTAACTTTGGTCTCTGGTTATCTGTCTGTAGCCCGTTTTTGTGATGTATTTTAACAGTCATATTTTATGTTTACGTAATAGCTTTACATACAAAGTTGTGATACTCTAGTTTTGTTGTCCATTGTCTTCAGGTTTTCATATAGTTTTAATGTGAGAGAGTGTTTATTCAGTATTGAAGACCTCGTTGTCAAGGGTACGATTGTGGCATGTGGATGTATTCCGTAATGTGTAAATACAAAAGTATATAACTATAAATAAAACTGTATCTTTAATACAGATTAAAAAATACCTGTTAAAACGTTAACATGTTTTGGGGACATTATGGAGTCAAATTTCTGTCTTGATGGTCAGTGATGAAAATAACGAGGAATTAAACTATCTCTGCTGTTCTTGTAATAGTGCAAAATGATATCCATCTTTTAATTCCAATAAATCACATTTTTCACAGAACATTAATTCAGGTTTTATAAACTGTTTGCTAAAACGCTGTTTTTGTACTTTTAAACCACGTGCTAAACATCGACATTTCGCCAAGACTCTTACAAGATCCTAACCAAAGCATCAGATTATATAGAGTTCAGTTTCTAATAGTGATTTATATGAGGCATATTGGTTTTAGAGCACAGAACTATTAATCTTTGGACTCCAGTTTTGTACAACAATGTCAATACATCTTCTCTTGAATAATTCCATAAAACAATCTATATGCCAACAGTCCTGCAATATCCACGCATAACCAAAACCAGATTTAAACAAAAGCATTCTCACATGAGATGCCGAATTAACACTACCATTATCAGCTTGTACTTTCAGCATTTTATAACAAGCATGTGGAAGTCCATTTAAATTCATGCGTATCAATCTACACCAATAGCTTATACATCGACTGAAATAAAAAACACTTAGATGATAACGGCTAACTTCACGAAGAACCACATTAGATGATGCTTTATTACTGACTGACAAATATCTCTTGAAAAAAGAACTTTGGATTTTTTCTATACTTTCTCTAAATGTAAATTCCCAAATTTCACTTCCATAACAAGCAATCGGAGCTATTTTACTATCGATTATAGAAACAATTACCTTAAATGACAAGTACGGATAAAGCGTAGTCAACTTAAAATAGAAAAACATGTTTTCTTGGCCTGTGTCACTGGAGTTTTACAGGCCTTTGACCACAGAAGACGTGATGAAAAGACAATACCCAAGTATTTATAATATGTTACTATTTTCATTTCTGTATTTTATTGTACCAATTTTCAATTCGTTTAATAACACCACCATTTCTGAATACAATAATATTTGATTTATCCATATTGACATCCAGAAACCAAGTATCACAAAAAGATGCCCTATTTATCTAATTTTCTCTGTAACTTAATTACAGAGTGAGCTCCTAGGACAATGTCATTCGCAAATAAATCATCAATGAAATCATTCACAAAAATACACCGCCGTCATATAGCTGGAATATTGCTGAATGCAGCGTTTAAGAACAAACAAACAAACAAACACAAAAATACCTTTCGTTACACTTTTATCTAAATCTGTAGCAAGTTGGTTTATAAAGAATAAAAAATAACAAAGGGCTTAACATACAACCCTGTCGGACTCCATAGGAGGTTGGTTGGTTGGTTGTTTAACGCCGCACTGAGCAATATTCCAGCTATATGACGGCGGTCTGTAAATAATCGAGTCTGGACCAGACAATCCAGTGATTAATATCATGATCATCGATCCACGCATTTGGGATCGATGACATGCAACAACCAAGTCAGCGAGCCCGACCACCCGCCACTGGAGGTCTGAAATGCGTCAGTTCTAAAATTTCCCTTACGAACACAAGCAAAAACATTTTCATACAAATTCTTTAACACTTTCAACATTTTGCCATGTATGCCTTTCTGTAGAAGCAGATATAATAATTTAGTTCTATCAACAGTTTAAATGTATATATTAATAATGTATGAATTGTTCTCGTCATGATATGACTGAAATATTGCCGATGTGACGTTACATTTTAACTCCGTCACTCACTATAAGGTTTTACTGAATTTGGCATATATTACTGACTCGCCCACCTTATCATTGACTCGGGGGGCACGGGTGGCCCAGTCGTCCAAGGCGCCGCGATTCGCTTTGCAGAGTTGCGTCCCTTGGGCATGCCAGAAACCTATGATTGTGGGTTCGAATCCCGGTTCGAACCGATGATGTTTCTAGGTTTGTCAGCACCATACCCGTGCTCGTGGGTTTCACCGAAGTGGTAAACGTCTGAGACCTGCATCACTTCGGGCTTTCCTCCCACACGCCCTGATGTAACTGGAATACTTTTAAAAGCGGCGTTAAACCCAACTCACTCACTCACTCGAAACAAGTATCCACGCGGTCTTCATCTTACCGTCAATTTCCTCCCGAGACAGAAGCTGCAGATTCCGTTGTCTGAAACTCTGCATGAGATAGTCCTCCATGAAACAGTTAAGTTTATCAAAATCTTGGACATCCACTTCATCAGTCAGATGGTCCCGAAGGAAGATGGTTGCCCGCTGCGCACACTGTTGTAAGGTAAATTCTATCATTTTCTCCAACTTAATAACATCGTCCCTTCCACGTGTAGATGCACCACCACCAGCCTCTACTATCGCTGACGCCAGCACCTGCCTTGCTTGCATTACCTCCTTGCTATCTTTAGGGGGTGCTATGGAGAGGGAACATCCTTCAGTTAAAATTGTGAGAAATGGGAATTCTGTCAGATAAGTATATTCGTTTGTTTGTTTGTTGTTTAACGCCGCACACAATTTCATCAATAATATAATTAATAAAAATACCTTTCGTTACACTTTTATCTAAATCTTTAGCAAGTTGGTTTATAAAGAATATAAATAACAAAAGGGTTAGCATACAACCCTGTCGGACTCCACTGGAGGTTGGTTGGTTGGTTGTTTAACGCCGCACTCAGCAATATTCCAGCTATATGACGGCGGTCTGTAAATAATCGAGTCTGGACCAGACAGTCCAGCGATTGACATCATGAGCATCGAGCCACTCAATTGGGATCGATGACATGCATCAACCAAGTCAGCGAGCCTGACCACCCGATCCCGTTAGTCGACTCTTACGACAAGCATAGTCGCCTTTTACGACAAGCTTGGGTTGCTGAAGACCTTTTCTACCCCGGATCTTCATGGCAATGTAATGTAATCATAAATGTAATGACAAATTCATCAAACATTAATAGGTACCTTCTGAGAGCCCTGGGCGAAGAGCTTCTTTTGGCCTTTCATTGATTACATCCTCTGCAAAGAGAATACCCATATCAATTTCACGTTAAAGAAATCAAATGCTTTCATTATTCAGGAAGATGAGCAGTGCACCACGATACATCTGAAGATCCGGGGTAGAATAGGTCTTCAGCAATCCTTGCTTGCCTTAAAAGGCGAGTATGCTTATCGTCAGAGGCAACTTACGGGATCGGGTGGTCAGGCTCGCTGACTTGGTTGATACATGTCATCGGTCGCAATTGCGCGGATCGATGCTCGTGATATTTATCACTGGATTGTCTGGTCCAGACTCGATTATTAACAGACCGCCGTCATAAAGCTGGTCATCTTCCCGAGGCAAGAGAGCTAACTGACTTTAAAAGTCCAGTTTTCACCCTTGCCGAACTAGGCTGGAATTCCTGGGCTCGATCGTAGCGCCACCAGTGGCTATTACCAGTTATGTCCTTTCTATGCCTCTCCTATTGACCAATCAGATTCAACCTCTCGTATCACTTGCATTTGCTTCAAACAAAACGGTGGCGCCCAGTCAAGACGGCCTGATTGATAATCAAGATCTATATTGTGATAAAACGAGTCTTACATCGCGAAGTGCACCAAATCACGTGAGCACCTTGATTAAAAACATGAAAAGATTTAGAAAATATCTGTTGACAACGAGTTAGCGGTGCACATGCTTTGCAAATCCTGCAGTCGACCGAAATCTGCATGACACTTTACGAACCGGATTTCGATTTCGGTGCGCGGTTTTGATTGGACTATGCATAGACTCGTTAGTCCAGCCAAAATGTAAGTCCATATTACCATCCTAGTTCGGCAAGGGTGGAAACTGGACTTTTATAGTCAGTTAACTCCCTTGCCTCGGGAAGATGATAGCTGGTAAATTGACACACCATTTTACATCTGAAGAACTGTTCACTCCATGCAATAGATATTATACAAATGGGCCACATATGTAATACACTGGATAATAAGATACTATTGATCATACCGTGTCTGACAAAGAATTCCCAGTTTGCTTTGGTGCTCCACGATGTTGTAACCACTACATCAGGAAGAGGGAGAGACTCCTGTGCGCAACTTGTGGAGGGACGTCGCAGTATTAGCACATTGTTTCTAAATGCCCTATAAAAGAAAAAAAAAACTTAGTGTAACGGAATAGCATTATTGAACTATGATTTTGGATTCGAATCCCGGTTCGCCTCGATTATGTTTCTAGGTTTGTCAGCACCATACCCGTACTCGTGGGTTTCACCGAAGTGGTAAACGTCTGAGACCTACATCACTTCGGGCTTTCCTCCCACATTAAGCTGACACGCCGTGATATAAATGGAATACAGTTCAAAGCGGCGTAAAACCCAACTCATTCACTCCTTCAAAGCTACCTCGCGTCTACTGGGCTGCCAATACAGCGTAAACAATCGGTAGTGAGAAAACATGGTCACACCAATGCTTCAAGGTTGGTTTGTTAGTTATGTAACGCCGCACTCAGCAATATTCCAGCTATATGTCGGCGGTCAGTAAATAATCGAGTCTGGACCAGACAATCCAGTGATTGTCATCATGAGCATCGATCCACGCAATTGGGATCCATGACATGCATCCACCAAGTCAGCGAGCCTGACTACCCGATCCCGTTTGTCGCCTTTTACGACAAGCATAGTCGCCATTTACGGCAAGCATATAAAGTATGACTTCTGATGCGATGTAATTGTTATTATATTAAACTTGGTCTTGTCGCTATATGGCTGAAATAATGCCGATGCGACGTTAAACTTTAACTCACTCACTCACTCTGATGCGACGTAGCTTTCAACATAAAGTGAGTTAATTCAATGTTTACATCGCATTGGCAATATTGCAGCCATTCAGCGTTGAGAACAAGGTATGCCTTACAACATTTAAGAGGGGCGGTCTGGTAGCCTAGTGGTTAAAGCGTTCGCTCGTCACGCCGAAGACCCGGGTTCGATTCCCGACATGGGTACAATGTGTGAAGCCCATTTCTGGTGTCCCCCTCCGTGATATTGCTGGAATATTGCTAAAGAGCAGCGTAAAACCATACTCACTCACTCACTACAACATAAGCAGAGGCGATCAAAATAACGTGTCACGTTGAATACTGAAGTCACTACGACCACCTACCTCAGACATTCAAATTCCTTGAAGTACTCCTGGACGCAAGTGATAGTAACTGTCTTTGAGACAATGCTGAGTCTGATCACCAACTCGCTCACTATCAGTGTTGTGAAGTCAGATTCTGGCAGCATGATTCTCACGTACCGTCGGTCTTCCAACATTTCAGCAAACAAATCAAAACTGTCACTGGTAAAGCAGTAATGTGATTCAGCATTTTCGAAAAGCCGAGAGTGGCAGGAATTGACCTGCTTCAAAAATAGATGTATCACTCTCTGGGATTTGTTTGGATTCATTTGAATCGACCCAGCTGTTGCCCCCTTTGACGTTTCTGAGACAATCTTCTCAATGTCCTGAACAAATCTCTCAGTCGAGTTGAATTGCTCTGAAGACAGAACACCATTGTTGACGGTGAAGTCGGCCATGTCTTTTCTCACAATGCTTATGATTGCCTTTGCGAGCTGGGAGTTGTAGTATTTGGCTCTGTCAAGTTTAAGGTAATCTGTAAGTATTGTTAGAACTAACACTGGACTGTCATGGCGGAAGATGCACACATCACAAAGCAAGTTGTCAGGAATCTTTCCATTCAGTGTCATGTTCAGGGTGACCAATAGCGAATGGCCGGTGTAGGCAAAGTATCCTTTCTCACACAGTTTCTCTATTTCCAAGAGAACAGTCTCATCTATGCTTGATAAGTAATCTATCATGATCCGAGGGTAGATAAATCCTTTACCTGCAAATACAAATGATAACCAGATTAAGCATGTATTCAGCGGATAAGACGATTCATTGGTTATGTTTGTTACAGACCCGTGAACATCCGGGGTAGAATAGGTCTTCAGCAACCCATGCTTGTCGTAAAAGGCGACTATGCTTGTCGTAAGAGGCGACTAACGGGATCGGGTGGTCAGGCTCGCTGACTTGGTTGATACATGTCATTGATTCCGTCATATTGTTGGAATATTGCTGAGTGTGGCATTAAACAATAAACCAACCAGCTAAACCAACTACGCTGACATGCTGATACGTTTAGTTTTCACGGCAGTAGTGTAACCTTTTTACTCAAAATTCTGTAACTAAAATAAACCTTTTGAAATGTCCTTTTCTTTGACTGGAGGAGCAAAATGCTTTCTTTCACCAACATCATATCTGTTCAGCAAGTGAGGGATACATTTTTCAAAATAGAACCTGAGGCTAAAATAGGTGTAAGGTTACCTCCCCACCTCAATCGACTAGTCACGGATTTTGGTGGTTACACATCCTAGTTAACTTCTGTACTGATAGTAACATTTTATTACTGTATCTCATGCTCAAACAATGTATCCAGATTTACAAACTTTATGGTTATTCATATAGTGAGAACAATTGGTGCACAGGATTCCAGGAAAAGAACAGAAAGGTTTCCACGCAACATCCTTAGTGACAATAATCGCTGTTTTGGCTTTGACCAACCAACCAAGGGATGACTGGCACAGTCGTCAACCAAGGGATGACTGGCACAGCAGTCAACCAAGGGATGACTGGCACAGCAGTCAACCAAGGGATGACTGGCACAGTCGTCAACCAAGGGATGACTGGCACAGTCGTCAACCAAGGGATGACTGGCACAGTCGTCAACCAAGGGATGACTGGCACAGTAGTCAACCAAGCGATGACTGGCACAGTCGTCAACCTGGCTACATGATGGCCAGTGGTGCACCAGACAATCCAGTGATTGATATCATGAGCATCGATCCACGCAATTGGGATCGATGACATGCATCAACCAAGTCAACGAGCCTGACCACCCGATCCCGTTAGTCGCCTTTTACGACAAGCATAGTCGCCTTTTACGGCAAGCATGGGTTGCTGAAGACCTATTCTCTCCCGGAATCTTCACGGGACGACTTCCTTGGGCGCCCCCCTTTTCCATGTGTAAATTTTGATGTTTCGGTTTACCTGCAAGCTCTGTCGAGATCCACTGTGAAAAATACTCGCTGTTGTACTTCCCTATAAAACCCTCATGTCCTTGGATCGATTCTGAAATCGAAGAAATGTAATCAGTCGGCTATATCTTTCTGTTTGTTACACGTTGCAATTTTTCGAACACCCATGGCTGGCCTTACAGTGATTTGTGAGTATAATTTGTTTACATTTTTATCGCATTGGCAATATTTTAGCAAAATCGCGATGAGAAGTTAATCATATATTAATAATCTGTCGACAAAGAACAGTAAAACAGTTAGGTAAATATCACAGTTTAAGTAAAAACCAAACCAGATCAGATAACCAGACAACCTTATTCAACTGGCTCGGGAGTATCAGTTAGAACCAGGCTACAGACCACAACAACCAAAGATACACCACCTAAGTGGGGATGAGGTGAGGTGCAATGGGGTTGAGGAGAGGTGAAATGGGGATGAGGTGAGGTGCAATGGGGTTGAGGTGAGGTGAAATGGGGGTGAGGTGAAATGGGGGTGAGGTGAGGTGAACTGGGGTTGAGGTGAAATGGGGATGAGGTGAGGTGAAATGGGGTTGAGGTGAGGTGAAATGGGGTTGAGGTGAGGTGAAATGGGGTTGAGGTGAGGTGAAATGGGGATGAGGTGAGGTGAAATGGGGTTGAGGTGAGGTGAAATGGGGTTGAGGTGAGGTGAAATGGGGTTGAGGTGAGGTGAAATGGGGATGAGGTGAGGTGAACTGGGGTTGAGGTGAAATGGGGATGAGGTGAGGTGAAATGGGGTTGAGGTGAGGTGAAATGGGGTTGAGGTGAGGTGAAATGGGGTTGAGGTGAGGTGCAATGGGGATGAGGTGAGGTGAAATGGGGTTGAGGTGAAATGGGGATGAGGTGAGGTGAAATGGGGTTGAGGTGAAGTGAAATGGGGGTGAGGTGAATTGGGGTTGAGGTGAGGTGAAATGGGGATGAGGTGAGGTGAAATGGTGTTTAACGTCGCGTCCAAGATTATTGCACTTATATAGCGACGTGCATGCACGTGTGTGTGTGTGTATGTGTGTGGCTGCTTGTACTAGTCCGGACTGATGCCGATTTATAGTGCTAGCTCACTGAGATACCATGCTGCAGTTTAACATGAGTACCCCACTCAGACACAGCATACTGACTCCGAGCCGACCAGTCCTTGTTTTAGCCCCTTAATGCCGAGCGCCAGACAGGGTAACAACAAGTCCCATCTTTTAACGTCTTTTGGTATGACGCGGCTCTCCGGGCGGACGCTCTACCACTAGACCACGGAGGCGGTCCAAGTGGGGATGATGATGGCGAACGGTACGTCCTGCATGATTTCACAGCAGGACTTCGTTCAGAAATCGTAAAGAAGCACACGTGTAATAATAGTATCCTCTTAGTTGGGTTCAACGTCGCTTTTAACAGTATTCCAGTTATATCACGGTGTGTTGGAGGAAAGCCCGAAGTGATGCAGGTCTCAGACAATTACCACTTCGGTGAAACCCACGAGGACGGGTATGGTGCTGACAAACCTCGAAACACAATAGGGGCGAACCGGGATTCGAATCCATAATCATAGGTTTCTGGCGTGCCCAAGGGAGACAACTCTGCACAGCGAATCACAGCGCCCTGGACGACTGGGCCACCCGTGCGACTACGCTTGTCGCAAAGGCGACTAACGAGATCGGGTGGTCAGCATCGCTGTCTTGGTTGATGCATATCATCGATCCCAAATGCGTGGATCGATGCTCATGATGTCAATCACTGGATTGTCTGATCCAGACTTGATTACTTACAGACCGCCGTCATAAAGCTGGAATATTGCTGATTGCGGCTCAAAACAACAAACCAACATACCAACTTTACAAAAATGTTCACATTCCTAAAGAAGTCAGTATCAATGTTTACCTGTGAGGTCATATGTGAAGGTAGGTGGACAATAGCCAGGTAAGTCCTCTGTTGTATTCCTTGCAGGTGAACCTGGCCACAAGAAACAATCATTTCGGTTATGGTTATTATGGTAATGGTATTCATTACATAACTGGAAGGGGTGGTCGGGTAGCCTAGAGGTTAAAGCGTTCGCTCGTCACGCCGAAGACCAGGGTTCGATTCCCGACATGGGTACAATGTGTGAAGCCCATTTCTGGTGTCCCCCGCCGTGATATTGCTGGAATATTGCTAAAAGCGGCGTAAAACCATACTCACTCACTCACTCACAACTGGAACATATACGTCTTTGCAATATGTCAAGCACTTTTCCTACAGCTCCAGTCCTGTGTGTCTACATTTCACAACTTTTGAGGTACAATTGACCATGTTCCTTCTACCAAGGGCCCGTGAAGAATAGGTCTTCCGCAACAAATGCTTGCCGTAAAAAGCGACTATGCTTGTCGTAAAAGGCGACTAACGGGATCGGGTGGTCAGGTTTGCTGACTTGGTTGATGCATGTCATTGATCCCAATTGCGTGGATCGATGCGCATGATATTAATCACCGGATTGTCTGGTCCACACTCGATTATTTACAGACCGCCGTCATATAGCTGGAATATTGCTGAGTGTGGCGTTAAACAACAAACCAACCAACCAACTTTTAAGTTGCGGACGTGATTAAAATGAATCTTATTTGGTCACGTTTCAAGACATAATCTGTTAATAGCAACCGACACTTGGAAGTCCGTACCTTGAGGGAATGTTTGTGGGCTTTGTCGTAACGACGCCGGGCTTGATGAAGACACATCGGGTTCACCAACGCCACTGACGATGATTTGATCAGAATACATTCCCAAGGACACGGAACTGCTAGAAGCACCATAGCTGCCAATTGACGTCGTCATTGACGTTGATCTCTTATGTGTTTGGTAATCAGACATGTTGGTATCGTTAAACAAAAGACATATTAGAAAGCTTTGTCTCAAGAGACATCATTTGTATACGATTGAACCACTCTTTAAAGTCCATTCTACGAATGTTCCCATTTTGAATTGTGTATGTCTCAGGTCCACTCTTTTCATAGAACACAATGCCTTCCGCACACCCAACTGCGATTTCAAGAATGAACTTAATATTATGTTCTTTGTCTTGGAAACTATGTAATTCCACTTCAACCAATTCCTCAGGAACATCCAACAAATCTCCCTCAAAGCTGAGAAACGCAGCTTCGTTCTTGATTTTCTTGAACAGTGATGATCTGAATTCTGTTACTGATCCAGGCACATTGACACCCCACAATTCTATGGTCTTTGATTCATATGGTTTATCTTTGTCTCGAGACTCATTTATTCCAAGAAAAAAAGATCCACCTCCCTCCACTTTAGACAAACAACTTAGATTTTCTTTGAAGCGCAGTTCCTGCCAAACATAATCAACAAAGCCTCCAACTGAGTCTATATTGGTCTTTGGCATGTAAACCTTTAGTTCTGTTCTTCTGTTCTCATGCAATAGAGTGCCATATCGGTCTAATCCACGGAGCTTGGGAGGTGCTTTCTGAGGACGAACATCATTGGTCAAAATGGATACGATATTGATCGTTGATGCCCTCTCAAGTTTGAAGTCAGATGATACTTTCGTTTTAAAATCAACCGTCGATATGAATGGTGTTTTGGTAACTTTTAACAGCACAACATCCCGAAATTGTTCAAACCTTTCCTTTTCATGCAACCATTGACGTGTATATGTGTCAATGAACAGTTTACCGTCGGGTATCAGATTGTTCAAGCTGTTGTCCAGGAAGTCGTCCAGATGGCCAAGGTACTCATCATCACTTGTTTGTCCATTTAGATGTAGTAACACATCTCCACCATCTGTGTTTCTCAAAGCACTCACGATCTTCTCAATCTCTTTCAGCTTCCGACGTTTTCGGTCACTTGTCTTGATTTTTTCCGTAAGAACACAAACATCAAGGTGGACTGAAAAAAAGTCTGGTTCCACCAGCACTTTATTGTATTGTCGTTTCAGTTTGGTGCATACCTCACAGCAACCTGTAACAAAAACAGATTTATGAACTATTTGTAGTGAGTGAGTGGTTTGCTCCGTACTTTGAATTTCTCAATCAATTTCAGATAACACAGATGTTATGATCAACGTCCAACGCCTTCGATCGGGTATGGTGGGGTCCATTCATCCAAGTCACCGAGCCTGAACCACCATCCATTCAAGTTCCCTTGTTTACGTGGAACCAGGCTTACCACAGAATCGTCACGGGGACAACTATTTATTATGTACATTTAGCTGCAACAAATGTTATATTTGGGATAACACTTTCTAAGTAAAGTACAGATTCTTGTACTTTTTGTACAAGTCTTGTGCGGGATTCGAACCCTTACTTACTAGGGTGAGGCACCTAATCGCCAGCACACAAAGTCAGCGATCTAACCCACTCAACCACCGAGGCTTCCACAAAATGAAAGTCCGACAACTGGTAGCCTAGATCACGTACTTTGAGTACCCCTCTGACAAGTGTAAATTGGCACGGGTCCAATGGCCAAAAGCTATGAACACACACAGTGCCATTTAGAAAGTTGTCAAATGAACAAATGTGATATTTGGGATAACTCTTCCTTAGTGAGTGAGTGAGTGAGTATGGTTTTACGCCGCTTTTAGCAATATTCCAGCAATATCACGGCGGGGGACACCAGAAATGGGCTTCACACATTGTACCCATGTCGGGAATCGAACCCGGGTCTTCGGTGTGACGAGCGAACGTTTTAACCACTAGGCTACCCGACCGCCCCTCTTCCTTAGTAAAGTACCCCTCTGACAAGTGTAAATTATGCTTTCACTATCCTGGTCTCTGCACCAGAAGTTCTCAGTGATGGTCTAGGTTGTAACCAGGTTCTTTATTTGGCCTTCACGTCCAGGAGCTGGCGATTAGGTGCCTCACCATGGCAAGTGTGGATTCGAATCCCGCACGGGACTCAACCCCAAAAGTACAAGAATCTGTACTTTACTAAGAAAGTGTTATCCCAAATATAACATTTGTTGCATTTGACCACTTTCTAAATGGCATTGTGTATTCATAGCTTTCGGCCATGGGAGCCGTGCCAATTTACACTTGTCAGAGGAGTACTCAAAGTACGTGATCTAGACTACCAGTTGTCGGACTTTCATTTTTGTGGAAGCCTCGGTGGCTGAGTGGGTTAGATTGCTGACTTTGTGTGCTGGCGATTAGGTGCCTCACTCTGGCAAGTGTGGATTCGAATCCCGCACGGGACTCAACCCCAAAAGTACAAGAATCTGTACTTTACTAAGTGTTATTCCAAATATAACATTTCTAAACGGCATTGTGTATCCATATACATTTAGCTGTTCATAAAATGGCTGATATTACTATCTATAGAAGGAAGAGAACTACTCACTTTCCTCTGATCTTGCCATTCTCATGACTCCATTTTGGAAGAATGATCACCCCAGTCATTTTGATTCCACCTTGCACAGAAATCATTTGTATAAGACATAAGGAAGCAGTAAAGGAAGTACAGTAAATTACGGTTATAACGAACTCAAAGGGACTACTATTTTTAGTTCGTTATAACCGTAGTTCGTTATAAGCATATATACAGGATAACTACAGCAAATAGTCGGGACTGAAAAGTAAGTTCGTTATAACCGTCAGTTCGTTATAAGCGTGTTCGTTATAACCGGAGTTTACTGTATATCTATAATAGCTTGGTTCTAATGTCATAATCTGGTGACGCCATTATAAGGTGAGGTGAAATGAGTGAGTGAATTTGTATTTATGCCGCTTTTAGCAATATTCCAGCAATGTCATGGCGGGGGACACCAGAAATGGACTTCACACATTGTACCCATGTCGGGAATCGAACCCGGGTCTTCGGCGTGACGAACGAACGCTTTAACCACTAGGCTACCCGACCGCCCTACTGAGGTGAAATGAGGTTCGAGGTGATTGCACTTAAAGAGCGACAGGCATGCACGTGCTTGCTTGCGTGCTTGTACTAGTGTGTGTGTGTGTAGTGCTGCATGTGTGTGTGGCGCTGCGTGTGTGTGTAGTGCTGCGTGTGTGTGTGTGTGCAGTGCTGCGTGTGTGTGTGTTTGTAGTGCTGCATGTGTGTGTGTGTAGTGCTGAATGTGTGTGTGAAGTGCTGCATGTGTGTGTGTGAAGTGCTGCATATGTGTATGTAGTGCTGCATGTGTGTGTGGTGCTGCATGTGTGTGTAGTGCTGCGTGTGTGTGTGTGAAGTGCTGCGTATGTGTATGTAGTGCTGCATGTGTGTGTGTAGTGCTGCATGTGTGTGTAGTGCTGCATGTGTGTGGCGCTGCGTGTGTGTGTAGTGCTGCGTGTGTGTGTGCAGTGCTGTGTGTGTGTGTGTAGTGTTGCATGTGTGTGTGTAGTGCTGCATGTGTGTAGTGCTGAATGTGTGTGTGAAGTGCTGCATGTGTGTGTAGTGCTGCATGTGTGTGTAGTGCTGCGTGTGTGTGTGTGTAGTGCTGCATGTGTATGTAGTGCTGCATGTGTGTGTGTAGTGCTGCATGTGTGTGTGTGTGTAGTGCTGCGTGTGTGTAGTGCTGCATGTGTGTGTGCGGTGCTGCATGTGTGTGTAGTGCTGCACTCGTGTGTGGTGCTGCATGTGTGTGTGTGGCGCTGCATGTGTGTGTGTGGCGCCGCATGTGTGTGTAGTGCTGCATGTGTGTGTGTGTAGTGCTGCATGTGTGTAGTGCTGCATGTGTGTGTGTGGCTGCTTGTACTGCTCCGGATGCTGAGAAACCATGCCGCAGTCTAACATGAATACCCCACTCAGACACAGCACCCTGACTCCGAGTCGACCAGTGCGTCCGTGCGTTCTAGTCTGAACTAATGCCGGTTACATTTTTATAGCGCTAGCCAACTGAAATACAGTCTTTGTTTTATCTGAACGACATTCAAGTTAGCAACAAGTAAGATCTTTTAACGTCTTTTGGTATGACGCGGCCGGGAATCGAACCCCGACCTTCCGCTCTCCGGACGGACGCTCTACTATGGACCACGGAGGCGTTATAATACCACCATGGGACATCACAAGGATGCTGAAATTTATCAAAATGCGCTTCTAAACGTGGTTGGGAGGATCTGCTTACGAGCTGTTAATGCTGAATATTCGACGTACGTATTGTTAACGTCATAAACATGAACTCAATCACATACCAGTGACATATGTCATCTCCTGATAACTCTAGATTTAGGTCAGTTTTGTTTATCATCAAATAGATAGTGTTATCAATGCCATAAACCAATCCGATAAACTCTTTGGGCAGACGGACCCGTGATGGCTGGTTTGCTGGCTGTTATGCTGTGTTTATCGCTGCTATTGTTCAGACACGGAAGTGTACACGATCAATTCGGTCACAGCAGTACGTGCATTAAGTACATCGGTCGATTTCCTCCAATTTTGATCTCGTCGCACAGAGGTGAAAATCAATTCCTGATAAAAGCACCTCACGTACATACAAGTATTTTACTACACAAGCGCGAATGCACTTAAGGGGTGTATTATTTCGTAATTTTATTAAAAATATTTCATGTGTTTGTCACAGTGATGCTACAGGTATAGGTATACACTCGATGATTTTTCTGAAATTCCTGAATATATAAATCGGAAGAACGCATGAACAGGAATGGGTGGTGTGGTCGGTGTTTGTTTGTGCTCACAGACCGTCTGTTTATTGCTAAACACAGAGATAAACAGTAATGTAGGTCAGGCCTGAAGACCAGGGCATGATGACCTGGTTTGCAATCCCGTGACAGTTCATATTTCAGTGCATAAATCTATCTACAATGCCCCCGCATTCGCTGTCAAATCGTTATTGAGCTAACGTACACCTACCTTCATGCTTGTAGAACCTGCTCCGATAAATGTCGAGCTGGACCCACCACTCTCACATGTGACCGATACGTCACAAGGAAAAAACTCCTCAGATAGCCTACCTATGTCAATAACACTATCAGCCATCTAACCGGTTGCAGGTCGATCGTCACTGCGCACAAGTAGAACCAGTCAAATATGTGCAACTGCGCACATCAAGCGCGTACTGGTGATATAATGTGAACTGTGCACATTCTCGTTCGTAGGTGAAGTTCGTAGCCTCCAATTATTGTTACTGATTAAGTTCCATGCATAACTAATGTCTTAATGGTATTTGTTTGTTGGTTTGTTTGTTTGTTTGTTGTTTAACGCCCAACTCAGCAATATTCCAGCTATATGACGGCGGTCTGTAAATAATCGAGTCTGGGCCAGACAATCCAGTGATTGACATCATGAGCATCGATCCACGCAATTGGGATCGATGACATGCATCAACCAAGTCAGCGTGCCTGACCACCCGATCCCGTTAGTCGACTCTTACGACAAGCATAGTCGCCTTTTACGGCAAGCTTGGGTTGCTGAAGACCTATTCTACCCCGGATCTTCACGGGTCTAACGTTGACCCCTTGTTGAGGTTGTAGATTGTAACCTTGTAAGTTCGAAGAGGCTCTTGAGGTCGCAACGGAGAGACTTGTTGACGTCTCATGGTATTGGGGCTGTTGAAGCTTGGCGTTAAGAATTAAGCTTGTGTCCGCTTTCCTGAGCTTGAGAACGACTGAACGACGCTGGTATGTATGTATGTATGTATGTGTGTATGTGTGAGTGTGTGTGAGTGTGAGTGTGTGTGTGTGTGTGTGTGTGTGTGTGTGTGTGTGTGTGTGTGTGTGTGTGTGTGTGTGTGTGTGTGTGCCAGTAAATACGACCTCTATATGTCATTGGTATCAGATCTACATATAGTTCCAAGTGAAAGATGAGTGACACTACTTTGTGAGAGGTCCCACAAAAATGCTGATATGAGCAATTAAAGGTACGATAACGACCTCAATCCTCCCCAACACCCATACTTTAATGACGATTGTACGGTAAACCCTGTACCAACCCTGACAAGGAGGTTACATCCCATTAGTAAGACATCCCATTAGTAAGACATCCCATTAGTAAGACATCTCATTAGTGAGACACCCATTGTAAGACAGTGGAGTAGGTGGGATTAATTAAACAAACACAGCCAGTCTACCCACTTAACAATGGTCACAGCCCATGATTAGCGGATTAATTAATAAGAGTAGGCCAATAATTCTGTTTGAATATTCTCAGGAAATAAATGAGTTAGGAGCTAGTAGGAGCTTACTCAAAAAGTTGAGATGCATGTTTTCAGTGTGACAACCTCGATGTGAACTGTGATGTGAACTGTGATATTAACTTTAACTGAACTCTAAGTGGCGAATATGTTAAAACAATGGATTTAAGGGATGGATGAATTAAAATGTTGAATGAAATAAAGTAAAAGAGGGTATCAAGCATCTTGAGTCATTTCTTTTGTCTATAATAAGACAAGTCCATTTTCATGATAGGGGTTAATTACCTGATTAACATGTGCAACCAGGTATGACATTGTTGTTTTAAGGTGTCTCACAACTGGGCTGTCTTACTAATGGGAGGAGTGTGAGTGAGTGAGGTAAGATTTAACGTCACATCGGCAGTATTTCAGCCATATCGTGACGAGAAGTACATTAATTATACACATAATTATACGAAATAAAAACCTGTCGACGAAGGACAGTAGAATAACTAGAATATCACAGACTTGATTTAAAACTAGTTGTGAATAATAAAAACAGTAAGCAGTAATGAACATCACAATATAAAAATGGGCTAGAAATCGTCAACTAATGGGAGGAGACCGACAAGGATAGGTTCTAGTCATTTAACGCCTTTGACACTAAACTTATACGGTTATTACAATTTACGTAAAAAGTTATTACATTTTACCGCAAGTTGAGATTATTACAATTTACGTCAATTTTTATTACAATTTGCGTATTACAATGTACGTCAAATTTTATAATTACAATTTACGTTGTTATTACAATTTGCTGCAAGTATTACAATTTACGTCAATTTCTATTACAATTTGCGTATTACAATGTACGTCAAATTTTATAATTACAATTTACGTCAAAATTATTACAATTTGCTGCAAGTATTACAATTTACCTTTTTATTACAATTTACATCGTAACATGGGTCCATAGTCAATCTGAGTGAGTGAGTGAGTTTGGTTTTACGCCGCTTTTAGCAAGATTCCAGCAATATCACGGCGGGGGACACCCGAAATGGGCTTCACACATTGTACCCATGTCGGGAATGGGACCCGACGAGCGAACGCTTTAACCACTAGGCTACCCGACCGCTCCCAATCTGAATGGGACTTAGTGTATATATTGGACGGGTTTATTTCACTTTGTTCCATTCTGCAGGGAATTAACAGAAACATTCGTCACCACTCGCCCCTTTCCGTAACCTGCAAGAAGACTCGTCCCCCTATCGATGAATGTTATGTGCGAAAATACGACAAACCAATCAGAATACGCGTATGATTTCAAGTTCTTCGTCAAAGAATCCCTCAGAAATAATTTTTGATTTTACATCTCTTGCGTCTAAAAATATACCGAAGACACAGTATAATATCCGCATGTCCAGATGTGCTCTTAATTGCATCTGAAATATATATATAATATATGGGGAAATATGTGAAGCATTACGCAACGAGTTGACAATTGTTTTAGGTATGCCCGTTTGCGCTAAGACGGAACTCGGTCGCAAAAATGGCCACGAGGGGGGCACGAGTCGCTATTCGGCTTGTCCCGGAATAAAACGAGTTGGTCAGAAATTGTGTTTATACAGGTTCATGGTTATGGCGAAAGTGTTCACAGTCAATTCAACTCATGCTTTATGTCTATCCATGATCATGTGAATTGTGTTCACTATAATCACATCTATTTCTCCTCACGATATGGCTGAGATATTGCCGATGTGACGTAAAGCATTAACTCACTCACGATAATCAAATCTATCGAAACCAACATGTGAGTAAACCTATTTTACTGAGAGAAAAACAACTTCACAGATGTAAACAGAGCAGTCAAGAGTCAATCCTCTCAATCAAGTACACACTTGGAATATTTCGGAGTGCGGCGTTAAACAACAAATAGTAATTATGCACTAAATGATTTATTGTGAATCCTATATATGATTAATAAAGTACCTACATAAATGGATTGGTTTAAGAAAATGAGTCATTTCTATAAGTCTACAATGAACTTTATTATCCAATGTTTTTAAAATTATTAAATCTATAACGCCATTGGTGGGGGCACGGGTGGCCCAGTCGTCTAAGGCGCCGCGATTCGCTGTGCAGAGTTGCGTCCCTTTGGAACGCCAGAAACCTATGATTGTGGGTTCGAATCCCGGTTCACCCCGATTATGTTTCTAGGTTGATCAGCACCATACCCGTGCTCGTGTGTTTCACCGAAGTGGTAAACGTCTGAGACCTGCATCACTTCGGGCTTTCCTGCCACATTAAGCTGACACGCCGCGATATAACTGGAATACTGCTAAAAGCGGCGTTAAACCCAACTCACTCACTCACTCACTCAACATGGCTGCCACTGATAACAGTTTTTGTATAGAAAAATATAATTCCTTCTAATGCTGTTTGTAGGACGATGGTTTTAACTTTCTTGAAACATAATCTTTCTTTTTTGTATTTTTAAGAATTAATATTTAAAGACTTCAAATAGTTCAAAGTTGACTGATATTGCAGCGTTAGTCGAAATCACCGCTTTTGAGGGCCATGACAGTTGGAACTAATGTCGTATGTTTTCTCAAACCAGGTCAAATGTAAAAAGTGTTTCAGCGTCTGGAGTTTACGAATTGTTTCAAGCAATAAAGAAATGTCAGAGGATGCTAAAATCTGATCGTGAAAAGCAGGAATGATCTGCCCATGCCATTACTCTTCTATGTTACACTAACCAACATTTCTTTTAACATTTTACAACGTCTGGATTGATCATTTCAAGTTTTTAAATTGCAGAAATGGGTTGCTCTGACTTTTATATTGGGGGCGCGGGTGGCCCAGTCGTCTAAGGCGCCGCGATTCGCTGTGCAGAGTTGCTTCCCTTGGGCACGCCAAAAACCTATGATTGTGGGTTCGAATCCCGGTTCGCCCCGATTATGTTTTTAGGTTTGTCAGCACCATATCCGTGCTCGTGGGTTTCACCGAAGTGGTAAACGTCCGAGACCTGCATCATTTGGGGCTTTCCTCCCACATTAAGCTGACACGCCGTGATATAACTGGAATAATGTAAAAGGCGGCGTTAAACCCAACTCACTCACTCACTCACTCACTCTTCAGCAAGGTTTGGTTTGTTTGTTTGTGTGTTTGTTTTACGCCGCACTCAGCAATATTCCAGCTATATGACGTCGGTCTGTAAGTAATCAAGACTGGACCCGATAATCCAGTGATTGACATTAGGAACATCGATCAACGCATTTTGGATACGATGACATGCATCAACCAAGTCAGCGAGCCTGACCACCCTATCCCGTTAGTCGCCTTTTACGACAAGCGTAGTCACCTTTTACGGCAAGAATGGGTTGTTGAAGACCTATTCTACCCCGGAATCTTCACGGGTCCGGAGGCGGTGTATTTAAATAGGAATGCTGACACCAATCGTTTCAAAGTGCATGTCTCTGTTGACATTTGAGACCGTTGACTTCATGCCCAGGTAATCTACACTTTTTAAATCTGCTTCAACAACAAATCGGTTGTGATGGGTCGTTACTGACACGTATTCCCTGTTCTGCATCCAGATAATGTTAATGGACAATTCCAAGGCTGGCGTTGGAAGAGTGGCCGACAGACAAGAGTCTCCAAGACTGGGCTGAAGGATAGCTACTGGAGGTAATTCTGTTTGGTTGGTTTGTTGTATAACGCCGCACTTATGATCAGCAATATGCCAGCTATATGACGGCGGTCTGAACCACACAATCCAGTGATTGTCATCATGAGCATCCATCCACGCAATTGGGATCGATGACATACATCAACCAAGTCAGCGAGCCTGACCACCCGATCCCATTAGTCGCCTCTTACGACAAGCATAAT